TTTTCGGGGGGTATATCTGATCAAATGTTCATGGCTTGTTCCACTTATGAAAATTCATGGAGTGACCTTTTTGTTTAAAGAGTAAGTTTTTTCTACATATTATATGACTTTCTTTATTAATTTTTTTTTTTTGTGTGTGGATTAAGTAAAAGAGAAACATCCATATATCGCTTAACGCATAAAGTCATGTTCATATTTGCTGTTTTGACTTTGTAGGTGGGTCCCATATTCTCTTTCCCTTCAATGTCATCTCATTGTTATATCTGACAAATCACAAGCTTCATTTGTCTCTTATTCTTACATTTTGTGTATATGCTTCGGACAATACTGAGCTTTTGAAGGTATGAAAACTAGAAATTTCCTCCCATTTGAAACTCGTTGGACCAAAATACCCTCTGTCCCAAAAAGTAGTTGACTTTTGACCTCGGATTCGAATCCTCGTATAATGATATTCAAACCTATTTATCTTTCAGAGAATTTTATGGAAGCAGTTTGGTGGATTGGTCTTTGAGTTTTATGATTGGTTTATTGCCACCTAAGCAAGTAAAATGCTCCTGAAAGTAGGATGCTATAATTTGCATGGAATTTCAACTTCTGGGATTCTGAGTCATATCAGTGGGAAAGGAGAGAGTCTTTCATGCCAATTGGTGCTCATAAATTTTTAAGAAACGGATTGAAGAAACATTATCTTTACAAAAATTGGCAAAGCTTGAAGACAATTAAACATGTTTTTTTTTTCTCATAAACTTTGTGTTGATTCCCTCTTTGTGTTGGTTTTCTTGTTTGAAAGAGTTGGTTTTATATGAGCAACATAAGTGATATGGAGATTATGTTATTTGAAGTAATAAATGATGGCTGAAGTTTAATTTTACTTGGTTGTATATGCAAAGTATATAGGCTTTATCTAGTCCGATTTTCATCTTTTTTCTTGTGGATCGAGTTGATGAAGCAAAAGTATACTAAATTTCTTGACATGGTACTTTTGGTTTGGTATACTAGGTTAGCAACTTGTTGGGATTGCTTGCTATGGTAATTTTTAATGATAGCAATAAGACATTAAATTTACACCTAATAACAAACTTTATGAAAAATAGGAAGAGTATGTTTTAAAAGAGTTATTAACTAAAATGACCATGTGTTAGGGTCTGTTATTACCCAAGAACCTTCTTTCTAGAAAATGTATGCAAATGATTGCCAAATCTGCAAATGAATATCGTGAATTAGCAATGATGACACCTATTCTGACATAAACTCGTGAGTTAATTGTGATTCGCAAGTAGTTCTCATGAAATTATTTTACGAGCTACTCTAGCTAACTCTAATTGTATTCTTATAAAATGAAGTTTTCTCACCAAAATTGCCAAAAGTATAAAAGATTAGATCTAAGAGCTCCCCAATCCTCTTTCCTATTTGTTTCAAACAATGGGAACTAGAAAGGAGTGCAAATTGATTTTCAGAGCAAATGATGGAATTAGAAGGAAAACTGAAGATCTGGTGCGAGTCAAATTCCTATAAAATGAAGCCTGTAAGGTAGCAAATTTTCCATTTCATTGTTTAAGCTTCAATTCCTCAAATATGAATTTTGTGATGAAATTCATGATTTTATCAAGTTAAGTGTTGAATTCTAAATTTATAACTTTAATCTAATGATGTAAGTTCAATTCTATATTAAAAATTGAGTTTACGAAAGCTTTAACTGTGGTTTGAACCCTAGCTTCATGAATTTATCCATAAATCCATTGGAATTTCACTTTGATTTTTGATTTAGTTTCACATTATGTCTGGATGTTGTTTTTTATGGTGCAAAGTCTAAATCATATAGTGTTGAATCCTTTATTCAGATCAGATAGAGGTTAATGATGTTTTTGAGTTCACATTTGGACAAAACTCTCATCAACTCATTAAATGAATCGTGTTATTTATGTTTAATTATACTTTCGGGTTAGTTATTGCCATCTTAATTGCAAAGCATAGGTGAAAACCATATTTAAGAGTCAATTTTGAAGTTTTGAAGCTTAGACTTGCAATTTGGGGATAATCACTTTGATCCATTATTTGATTAAGTTAATGATGATTTAGGAATCATATAACTTGATTAAATAGAGTTTTGGATATATTACAATTATTAAAAGTCATTAAATTTGGAGTTGGAAGTGTTTGAAATGGATTAAGAAAAATAGGTTGACATTTTAGGAGTTTCTGTTTTTATGTAGGTTTGCACATTTGGCTCTATCAAGTCACCATTTTGCTTGACTGTGCTTTTTTCGTAATGTCATAGGAAATGTACTTTGCTTTATATTGAGTTTAGCTCCTAATGCTTCTCTAAGGTCACACATGATAGTTTAAGAGATTAATGAGTGCCATGTATACAAACCTAGATATAGTAACTAATATTATTAAGGTATGGTTATTCACATATTATACCTTCGAGCTTGTTGGATGTTAGTTTATGTTTGTAGTGATTTCATTGCCAAGAACACATGTTCCTATAGTATGCACTTGATTTCCTTTTGTGATTTATCTAATGATGTGAGTGTCTTATGTGAAGGATTATATGTAAAATGTGTTGCATTCATGAAATGGGTTTTATAAAGACTTTTCGAAATGGGGACAAACTTTCTAGTTTCTGAAATGACTTTTGAATGTGGTCATGTTCATCTACTTTAGGATGTATTCCATGCTTGTATGTTGTTCAGACATTCTGAAATTTAGGATCATTATCCTTTTGCAAGTAATGGTATGAGTTGTGATTGACTAACTAAATAGTCATGATTGAGGGGATTGTTCATGCAAACCCATTTTATGGTTTCACATAATGGTCACATGCTATCAAAGTCTTTAAATGAGGCCTTTAATTGTGTTTTGATGATGATGATGTTACTACCTTGTTTATGCTTCAAGTTAGTATGGAAGCTTATGCATTGCATCTTTTGATATTGATGAGTTATGATGATGTTTTAATAATGTTTATATTTGAAGTACTTCTTTCCTTAATTGATAATTACTTATTATTTTTTAAAACTTTGAAAACATTTTTAGGGGTTTGACTTTAGGATTGGATTGTTGACTTTATCTAACCCTTTTAAGAGATTTGACATGGTGAATGTTCACTAGGCTTTCCAAGTGTAACATATTTATTTTGAAATGTGTTCAAATTGTTAGACTTACCTGAAGACCAATATAAATTCCGTTTTTGGATATTTAAAATATTTTATTTTGAAATTTAAGATGTATATAAGGATATCCTTTGTCTTTTTATTGTTTTGTTATACCCTCGTATGTTTTGACATTTTAAATCTGAAATATATATATATATATATATATATATATATATATATATATATATATATATATATATATATATATATATATATACACACACACATATATATATATATATATATATATATATATATATATATATATATATATATAACTTTTTTCTTTCAAAATTTCAACTTGTTAGGATTTACAATTTGAATCTGAATTGTATTTAACTCACTCATTTTTTGGAAACGACCAGTGATTTAACGGAAACCTCACCACAATATTTCAGTGATGATCTCGAGTTTTAGCTCCTTTACAAGGCAAACCCGTCCTAACGGGATTTCCAGGAAAAACTTTTCACAATGACCTCAAACCCATTTGTGTATCAAACTTGGAACATCAATCTAGCTAGGGTGGACATCACTTGCTAATTCACTCATTAACATTCATTTTATGAATCTATTGACTTGTGGATCTCGATAAGTTTATATGTAAAAATGAGCAAATTTATTTGTAAATCTTACTGAATTCATTAGTCAATGATTAAAATGTTGAACTAGTAAAAAATACAATGAATTTACTTATATTCATATGAGCATGCGAATATTTATTCGAACTCATATGTTAATGTGAGTAAAATTATTTGTGAATCTGACTAAAAAATTTATGAATAAAGATACAAATAGTAAAAAAAAAAAAAAAAATTGCAAATCAATTACTTAAATATCGTATGATTTTTGTACACAATGTCATATTAATATTTTGAATACCAACCTCTGAATTAGATATTGCTTAGATTCATAGTAAGAATCTCTTATAATAAGTTGAAATCTTAAGATAAAAAATTTTATTGGAAAAAAACTAAATATATAAATAATACATAATTTTTGTTCTTTACAAACGTGCATCCATATCAATATATAAACAATGTTTTTATGGGATACAAATCGTCAATATACGTACAAATACGGAGGTTCGTTTGGATGGATCGATTCGATCTGATCCAATCAAGTGAATTCAAATTGATTTCGGTTTTCAGAAAATGGATCTGAATTATCTAAACTAAATTTAATTTCGATCAAAGCCAACCAAATTACAATTCAATTGGATGAGTTTCACATTTTGGTTTTCAAGAAACGAATATTTTTAAAAAACAAATGAATAACTTAAATATTTTTCAACTTTCAACAAAAATATATTGTTTAGTTGTGAATTAAAACTTATAAACTACTAAGAAAAATTATACTATTTAATATTTTATTGATAAAAAACATTTGAAAGTTACACATTAAGGTTTTTAATTTAATAAATTAATAATTAATTAAAATATGGGTATTAAAAAATATTAATAAATAAATAATAAATTGTTATTTGGCTTTTTAAAATATTCGGTTTTTATTATATTTTTATTTTATAAACTGAAATCAATTCCAAATCCAGATTATTAATTCAGTTTTACTGAAAACTTATAAAAAAAGAAAAAATCTATATCCAAACCACCCAATAATTTATCATATATTCCTCCCAATTTGTATGAAACTTTAGGACCTTAGGGTAGTAAAGTGTAATTACTCGTAAACTTAAGTCGTAGTTAACACAATGCCACGTCATCATAAATTTGGCGGTTGATACAGAACTTCATCCATCTTCTTCTTCCTCTAACTACATCCTCTTATTCCTCTCTGCGTCTGCGTGTTTTCAGTGTGTGAGAGAGAGGGTAATCACGAAGCTCCATGACGATGAAAGCATTATCTGTATCGATCGGCGGAGGAGGTAACATCATCTGTTCTCAACGATTAAATCTCTCCGGCAACCACCAATTTATCTCTTTGAATCAGTTTTCACCGTTAAATCTCCGACGGAGCTACAGCAGTCTTACTAATCAGGATCATTTTCTCGAAAGGCCTAAAACTTACCTTAAATTTAAGCTTGTTATTGCTAGAGCGGCCGATTCTACTCAGGCGCCGGTTCCTGCTGCAGTTACAGGCGGCAAATCGATCGTCGAAGACGAGGAGTTTTCACTCGCAAAGGTACTAGCTACTATTGTGTCTTGCTTATGCTTCGGAGAATATTTGGTATCGACTATTTGCTTGATCTGAAAAATTGGAGATATGTTGTCTCCGTTCAGATAAGCGAATCTGCATACTGCATACTTATGTCGAGTGTTAGATGATTATTGAAGTTAGATTTCCCGAAACGATGCTTGCTTATCTTATTCATTTTATCTACTTAGTAAAGATATAATAGAATTGCTTCAATCGGATAAAGAACAGATGAGAAGTAGTAGCCCTAAATAAATAGAAACCTAGAACAAATTTCTACACCTTTTCCAAGTGTTCTAATCTTCTAGCAACTGAAATTATTAAGCAGGATGCCAATCTAGCCCTAATAGTATGATACAAAAAGAGGTTTAACTTTAACGTTTAAACATCCATGAATGCATTATGCTTGTAAAGAAAATTGCTGCAACCCTAAAATCGCTCTCAACTCTATTATGCATTTAAACATCCATGGATGCCAATCTGCAGGTCTCCTTTGGTGTAATTGGACTAGGTCTTGGATTATCACTCCTCTCGTAAGTACCTTACTTTCATAAATAACACTTGTTTAATTTCAATTTGCATTTCTGAGATTGTTTTGCATACACTTAACAGCTATGGTTTTGGAGCTTATTTCAACATCCTCCCTGGATCTGAATGGTCTGCAATTATGTTAACATATGGATTTCCATTGACAATTATCGGAATGGCTCTTAAGGTCAACCATTTTTGCTATTCTTTCTCATCTTCCTCCAACTTTTCTTCTCAATCTCCATGAGAAACAATACAAATGCTATTTTGATCCTTTATTTTAACTTATATTACATTTCCCAGTATGCAGAACTCAAACCTGTCCCATGTTTGACTTACTCTGATGCTCAAATCCTGAGAGAAAAATGTGCCACTCCTATCCTTAAACAGGTTAGAAAAAAAAACAATCATACCAATTTGTATTATTGTTGTGTTATAAGTTATAACTTATAGTAATTGATTAAGTAATAAAAATAATTGGTTTTTGTTATGTATTAGGTCAGAGATGATGTCATAAGATATCGTTATGGAGATGAGCAGCATTTGGAGGAGGCTTTGAAACGTATTTTCCAGTATGGTTTGGTAAGTTCTTGCTTTTTTTAGACGAAAATCTTTGCTAATCTCTAAAACATTAAAAAAAAAAAAAAAAAAGAATATAGTAGTTAAATTTTGTTGATGTTGATATGTTTTGTTGTTTGGTTTAGGGTGGAGGTGTGGCAAGAAGAAATGCTCCAATTCTAACAAAAATCCGGGAAGAAGTAAAGCATAAACTTTAATAAAATATTATTTGGTTTGTTTAATTATCTTCTAGAAATATTAACCTTAAACTTTCCAAATATGATGATTTTCATTTTTCAGGTTACTGAAGATGGAAAGTATTGTTTAGTGTTGGTGTTTGAGGCAAAAGCGCTTGAGTTGGCTGACTTCGAGAAAAGACAGGTGAGTCATGTGTTTTTTTCACATTAAATAAATAATATTTAAACAGCATTTGAGAAAAGGGAAGAAAAAATTAGGCTTTAAATAATATTTGTTTTGTAGGAAAAATTTGCTTCTTTTTTTGGCCCGGGAATAACAGCGGAAGTTGGTGAGTTTTTGTTACGTTTGGATTTTTATACAAAATTTAAAAGCTTTATTATTTTTTTTTAATAAAATTTATTGGAGATTGTTGTGTGTGTAGGGAAAGGAGAAGAAGAGAAAACATATGATGTACGCCTTATTTCAAACACAACACTGTAATTATTTCATTATCGCCTTCCAAACGTGTTCCCTAGATTTTGCATAGCATATGGGAAAACTTTGTATCATTGATTGTATAAAAACTAAAAATATTTCCATAAAAGATGTCATACACAAATAGACACAAACAAGCCTTCACTAGGTGATCTTGGAAGTAATCATTGCATTTCAAGAAAAAAAAATCCAAATATCAAATTCAACTAGAAAAGATACAAAAGATACATATTTGAAGAAAAGAAAAGATTCTTCAAATATCTGAGATCCTAAAAGCTATGGTTAATTTAGTTTTGTTAACCGAATATAATACTTTACTAGGTTGGGTTTTGGTTAATTTTTTGTTAAACCGAATAAACAATATAATTAATACATATTTATATTTTATATCTATTAATTAACATTTTATATGATTTATAGATTAGTTGCTAAGAAAGATTTTCATAATTAATTATTTAGCTATTAACTACTATTGTAAAGTTATAATTGATTTATATTTTGTATCAAAAACCAACAATTAGCCAATTAACATTTGATTATTTCTTTCATTGTTGACTAAGTCTTCGTTTGATGGACATCTTTTCCGGTTCAACAGATTTTTTTTAGTTAAATGGATCGGAAAAACTATTTGATATATATATATATATATATATATATATATATATATATATATATATATATATATATATATATACTAGGTTATAATCTGTGGAAACCACGGATAAAAGATTTATAAAATTTTATTAAATTAATAAGATATAAGTTTTGTTTAAACTTGTATATTGATTATTTAAAATTAATATATATTTTTTATTTGAATATCCGATACACATTGTGCGTGTTCGGCATGGAGCGTTTGAGAGTTTCTAACTTTTGACAAAACGTTCCGTTTTAAACATAAAGTCTCATTCGGCACTATAAGCTTCTAGTTTTTGGTTTAAACAAAACGTTTCAAATCCAAATGTTACTTTATGTAACGTTTAACAAAACGCTACAAGCTATCCGCTACAAGCCACCCGCTACCAGCTAATTTTGCCGAACACGCCCGTTAAAAAATATATATTTTCAAAAGATCTTTTAATTAGATCATATAATATACCTCTTTTAATTAACATAAGGAAACACTTAACATATGTAATTTCTCTTAATCAAACTCTTGCAGGTTGCAACTTGGAGGTTTACCAAACTTGTTAAAGATAAATGTAAGACAAAACTTAAAAAATGGTCCATGTGGTTTTCAAAAATATCAAGTTTAATCTCTAAACTCAAAAAACCTCACAGATGGTCCCTGTGGTTTCAAAACTTTTAACAAATGGTCCTTTTCGTTAACTCCGTTAGTTTTTTGTCGTTAAGTGAATAGTATTTCTGTCATTTCACTACCACAAGGACAATTTATGAAGATTTGCCTTATTTTTAAAAAAAATTATATTATTTAATATTAAAGGGTCTGGCATCTCTCTCTCTCTCTCTCTCTCTCTCTCTCTCTCTCTCTCTCTCTCTCTCTCTCTCTCTCTCTCTCTCTCCTTGAAAGTCAACACCCTAAATGCAGAAAAATAATAACTTCTTTCTTCCTGATCAAATGAGATCTTGCATAATTAATTAGAGCATTTGTTTGGTTGCTCTTAAACTAAACCCATAACGCCCCATGAAATACCACCATTGATTCGATCAAACATCACCACCTCACCTCCTTTTTCTCTCCTTCTCATGAACCTACTGTCAAGAAACGACACCACCACGAAGGGTGGCCAAAAGACATCGCTGCCTCCATTAAAGAACCAACACCGGTGGCTTTAACTACCGTGAATCACCACCATCTGCCACTGTTATTGACCAGTAACCCCCTCCATCCCTCTCCTATTTAGATAATCAACCACCACCACCATTTCTGTTGCAAGAAAGGCCGATAACCGCCATCCACCACATTCACCGGAGAGAAAACCAACTACAACCACCTATAAAGGTAAGAATGGCGGAGGCCCTCTTGTCATGAACATAAACGCCAGCTTAGGCACTCGATCAAAAGGGTACTCAGGTTTATCAGGTACCATTGAAGCCCTCTAAAAGAGCTCGTTATCAGTCATTTGATGCGTCAGATTCTTAGGCATTTGAAAGCTCTCCATGCTTAAACAATCATCGTTCTTGCAATTTGAATTCGTACTACAGTTCTGATCGTAAGTAGCTGTTTTGGAATAACTTGGCGCAGGAGCAGCCATTATGTAATCTGTATAGAAATTATCGGGCCTTGAAGTGATGAAATACCTATAGACATGTGAACTTCAAGTCAAACCAATTATTATACCGATGACGAAAAGAATTAGAAAGCAAAGATGCCTAATTAATCCGATTGACGAATCTTTGAACACAAACTCATCTTTTTCCCCTCTACTCCTCTACCCCTCATTTTATAATTCATTACACAGAAAATAATACTCTAAGTTAAATTAAATCGATGCTTATAAGTTGCAGAAATTTTAAGTTAGTGAACAAAGTTGAATTTCAAGACTGGGATCGTGTTCATCCAATCTACATTGTGTTGATGGAATTGCAGTTTCAATCGAAGTACGAGATCTAGGAAACTAAATCGAGTTGTTGAGACCGGTGGATTATTTTGAAGGGGGAAACTAGGGTTTGATAAGGAAGTTGATTGGATCAAAAAAATCAAATATGCCCACAACATAAGAGTAGAAATCAAAGGCGACCCATGTTAGGGTTTATAAAGATTTAGAAAACCCACAAACACAAACATGCGAACTTGTGCTTATCGAGAAGTGAGAGATGGAAAATCGAACGAAGATTCGAGTAGTAAGTGAGTAACAAAGCATTAATATGTATGAGAGAGAGGTGGGACCTTTAATATTAAATAATTAATTTTTTAAAAAAATAAGGCAAATCTTTATAAATGGTCCCTGTGGCAGTGAAATGACAGAAATACTCTTCACTTAACGGCAAAAAACTAACGGAGTTAGCGAAAAGAACCATTTGTTAAAAGTTTTGAAACCACAGGGACCATCTGTGAGGTTTTTTGAACTTAAGGATTAAACTTTATATTTTCGAAAACCATAGGAACCATTTTTGAAGTATTGTCTAAATGTAAAGCAAAATAAATACAACATTAATTGTAAGCTCATAAATTCTTCTTTCTTAAAATTTTAGATTTGTACAATAGGATAGGATTTTCAAAATAAAAAACAAACATTTATATCTAAATGCAAACATCTAAATAAAAAATAAAAAATAAAAAATAAAAAACCTTTAGAAACAAACATTTATATTTAAATGAGTCATCTAAAAAAGAAAATTAATTTTACAGATTTCGTGGTTCTTTTAGCTTCTACATATCAAAATATAGAAAAGTGATTCAATCTGTCATAATTTAATTCGTAAATTTTTGAACTATTTAGAATTTTGGATCGGTTTGGGTTCTGATTTTGTTGAACCTCAACATGTTGGGAACTCTCCGAAAACCAAACCAAGTTTCTACAAAAAGGGAATATCCCTACAAGTTTCTACGATAAATGTTTATTACCTACAAGTTATACTAAATTAATATCAAATCACCATCTTGCCATATCCTATAAAATATTATTATTATTAAACCCTAATATTATGACAACCCTCAAATTAAAAAAGATTCAAAGAGATGTATGGAAAGAAACATGATTTTCATAAACATTATCTCCTATTCTTTCATTTAACTTTTATCTATTGAATATCAACTTTTAAATTAAATTTGAAGCAAATAAATAGATATTAATATCAATCATAAGTCCCTTGCCTACAAGGCTACCATATAATATAATATATTTACATCATAAGCTTAAAATTTAATTGTTTGGTACATGAAAAATAGCATGACACTTAGAAGATTTCCATAAAAACTCAGGCATCTTTTTCCGTTAACGGTTGCACAATTGAATTGTAATTTAAGTTATGCTTTTTAAAAGATAAACTTGTGTTAAATACCCCAATTCCATCAAAGTTCAGAATCAATACACAGGTCTGTTAATCATTATGTTTTTTTCTTTAAAAAATTACAGTTATACCCTTGTAATTTTTTACCTGAACCGTAGACCACCAAATTTTTTCTCATCAAATAAAAAGGGCAAAAATTATATATATATATATATATATATATATATATATATATATATATATATATATATATATATATATATATATAAGTACACTCATTCCTGTCTACATGTTACATTGATGTAAAAACTTCAATGAACAATTTTTAAAAGCCTTTATCAAAATCAGAGTACACTCTTGATATCATCTTCAGAAACATTCATTCCCCCGATAGAACTTTCCAGGCTATCTAATCCCACCCTTTCTTCTATTGTTGTACTTTCCTTTTCGTTTTGATTCATATCCACTCAGATCTAGGTAAGAACAATTCAAATTCTTGTGTTTGTCTTTGATTTTAACTTGAATATTGGACTATTTTTTCTCAGATTTAAAAAAAAAAAAAAAAAAAAAAAAAAAAAAAAAAAAAAAAAAAAAAAAATCTACAAAGTGTTATAAGTTATAAAGAACGCCTCTATAGATATGTCCAGGTTAAGTGCTTATTGTATTAAGTTCATTGAGTCAAGTCAATATTGCTTTGAAAGTCATCACATTTTTCTCTCTTTGTGTGTATTTGTGTGTGGCTTAATGCATTAGATGACACATGGTTTACAAACTACTAATTGGGTTTATCTCTATCAGCAGCTCCTCTGAATTTGTTTGTATCTAAAAATTCAACACAATTCAACTCACTTTTATGTATCGTGACTATAAGTCAGTATATATAGTCATTTTATCAAATGTTTTATATATTATTAACAAACAACACTAAATGGGACAAAAAAGGGCATAAGCCAAAATAGAAATCATACCTCTCTCCACCACAGGTATACTTACTCGATGCCTGTGATTGAAAATAAAAGGTCAAAAGGTCAAACTTGTATGGTATATATGATATCTAAGTCCAGATATAAATCGAATGTGGTGTACCTTGCTATAAGGATTAGGTTTTTTAGTTGCATAAAGCAATCAAAATATCAATCAAATATTTGAACTTATTTAAGTTGAAATTCATAAAATAGTAGAAAAGATTCTAAAAATTTATATCCAGTGATTGAAGCACAATGAAAACTGGAAAGACCTTAGAAAGAATGAGTGAGATACTTGGTACTCTGATGACACAAGCTGTAAGTTTTTCTTTGACGATGCTTGCTGCTAATTTCTTACCTAAACAAAAGGAACGCATGAAGCATAAGAAAATCAGCATTTAGAAGTTTGGAACAAGTTTTCGTAAGAAACAATGCAATCGTAAAAGAGTTTGTATCCGTTTTAAAGCAATTTGATTCCTTTACACAAATCAAAACACAAAATCCTTGAAAATTGTTACTATCTCGTGTGAACAATCAGCATAAATAACCCCTTGTATAGAGTTTGTAATGTTAAGAAAGTACCTCGATAGCATCCATTAAAACTTATAATGCATAAATTAATCAATTTCATCCAAATGCAAACTTTGTAGTGAACAATAACAAGAGAATCAAATTATTTGTGACCAACCTGCCTATTTGTTCGGTACAGTCACGTACACAATGATACTTGGCACAGTCGTTTGATTTGATGCTTCCATTCTTATATCGCTACTATGAAATCCCTTCGTTTTGCCACTGAAACTCAACCTAAACTGAGTGAAGACCCAAAATGGGATCGGTGCATACTAAGATGAGAGACCACGAATGAATCTGACTTGAAATGCGAGAGACAAAGGTGAAGGAGATGATTAGCTTTATTAGAGACGAAGGCGGAGTGAATCTTGGAATTCCTGATTTCTTGCTATGGAATTCGATATCGACTGTCGATAATTTTGGTATATCAATTCAAACGTCAATGCATAACTATTAAAGCCGAAGCAGAGGGCATTTGGGGAAATTCATTTTGGTATTTTGAGCAGAAAAAATTGATTGGGAAGGGCTTAGAGAATGCCACCTGGCAAAAATGTACTTATTTATTAGATTAGTGGATATATATATATATATATATATATATATATATATATATATATATTCCCAGTAAGATATGTCTTTCCCATAAAGCCCCAAAATCATATCTTTCTGGCTGAATTGTTATTTTTCATCATTCGGTACAGTCAAACAATCAAACAACATGGTTTCTTTTCCGGTCAGTAAACTTTCCTAGACAACACTTTCTTAGACATTAACTATCAGACGAGGCCTAAAGCTATTAACATATCTCTACAATTTGTATGTATGTATGTATTGTTGTATTGCCCTTTAATAGGGCTAGCCCATTCAGTGGTGGATCTAGAAATATTTTTTTGGTGGGGACACCATCAATAGATTATATGAATGAATCAGGTCAAATGGACTATATAATTAGGTTGGATGAAACTAGTGGAAAATTGTGGTTGTAATTTGTGTTTTAAATTTGGATGTTACATTTTCCTCATGTTATTAGGAAGTATGTTATTAGGAAGTAATCAACTCCTAATTCCTTGAACATGCATAATGTCCCTGTTAGGTTGTTGATGGGCATTTCATTGGTTTAGTTTCTTAAATCATAAAGGATCTAATAGCGACATGCTAGGTCTTCCATGAACCATGAGTGGTCGCCTAGGTGTGTCAAAGCATATCTTACCATAATGTTCAAATTTGATTTATTAAAATCATTTAATTGATGCATGAACTTTGCATATTGTTCAAGACTTAGCTTGGCGTTCGCTACGTTAGGTTTTAACTTCATTGTTTTCTTTTATTTTTGTTGTTGGTATTTGCTCACGAGTATCCACCATTCTAGGTATCCTTTTTCGAAGAAACCCTAGATTATGTGATTGGTTTTGCCACAATGTTTACACCACAATCCATCCTGATTCCCCTTTCTTTTGTCAGATTGGTTCTGCTTATGGTTACATATCCACAAATCTGATACATAACAACTTCCACATTTGTCTTTCTTAAAACAAAGATGTTTTTAAGTGATAAACATTAACGAGAATAGGCATTGGTTTGTGCTTAATATTTCATATTAACAGTCCCAAAGGAATCATCAAGTCCCATCAAGAACATGTAATTTCATCCTTCTCTTTTGACTCTACAAGTCTCTTCTAAGATCACATGAACATTTACCACATGTAGATCTTGGGATTTGTGAAACGAAAAGGATATTGTCATAGATTTCTTTCTATTGGATTAGATGTCTAAGCCAATAACTAAATTGGTATATACTTGAACTATTAGCAAAGTCCTTTTGGGTTGCCCTCAAACCTAACAATTGACTAGAATGTTTTTTAAAGAGAAAGGTTGATTTATTGATCTTTTATAAGATTAATAAACTGCAATTAATGATTTATTAATATATTATGAGAATAATATATTAATTAGAAATAGTATTATTTAATTAATAATTAATCATAAATTAATTAGAATTAATTTTGGGATTAATTGGATTAATTAAAAGTATAAGGACCGAAGCTGTAATTGTTCAATAGTTAAACAAAAGAGGTTTCAGAACCTTCCCCAATGTGGTGGACGGTTTTGGGGGTATATTCTAGGGTTTCTAGAATATCTCTTGGAGATAGTTAGGAGATTAGATAATTACCTAATTTGAAATAATAGTATTATATTCAAATTAGGGTTTCCATGGGTTTCTAGTTCAACTATAAATACGGCCTTAACCCTTCATATTTTCGGCCACTCCTTCTCTCAAGAGAATATCCGAAAAATATCATCTCTCCTCCTTTCTCCTTAAAGATCTAATTGTTAGGTTTTAGGTACAAACCATCAGAGGCACGAGAGTTTTGGTGTTTTGATTCCAAGTCAATTCAAGAAGGATTATTTGATTATTTACTATAATAATCAAGAAGGTATGTAAACCCTAAACCTTTTATAATTTAAGATTTTACTAGATTTACACTAGGGTTCTTGATGTTCAATAGATTCTAGCATTCAATAGTGAAAACATATATCCAATTAGGTCGCATGTGAACTTAAGAGTTAAGTTATTTTCCGTCACATGAATTTTTGTAACCTATAAAAACCAACACTTTCATCTTCATAAAGTATGTTAAGATGGACATCTTGTCTTGCCTCATTGTTGGCAGAATTTGGTTTAGTTGGTAAGCTCGTAGTGTGTTTTCCTTCCTAAGTTTCTTTAGTGTAACATTTGTTTTCAGGTATTGCTCTTAGGATTCAAAAAATCTAAGTTCTTGGAGATTTAGTGAATTTTTTCTAACCACGGCTTGGTGATGGAGCTCACTGTGGTGTGGTCTCATCTCCTGGATGAGATGCACATTTTTAATGACCAGATTCTGGTCATGTATTGGCCATGACATGGTGGTGGTTGGGTGTAAAACCCTAGGTCTCGAGCCTTGGGATCTATTTAAGCAAGATTATGATTAGGTTTTGCTCTCAACTCCAACCTTCATCCCTTTGAGAGAAACCCTAGAGTGTGTGTGTGTGTGTGTGTGTTCTTGGTGCTTTACTGTATGTTCTTGGCTTTCAAGGCTCTTTCAAGAATAAGAAGAATGAAATCCAAGATAGTTGTTAGAGTGGTTATTGTTGAGGGATTGTTTCTACAAGCCTTTTAAACTCCAGAAGGTATAAAGTTCATACCTTTATTATCTTATGAGTTATTTACTTGAGTTTTAAGGTCCCATATTGGTTGAAGAAAGTGAATCCTTGGAGTTGGATTTATTGGAAGCAACTCCAGGACCTTGGGAGTGATTCATGTTAGTTTTTGGATCTTGTAATCCCATAAAGTTTGTATCTAGATCAAGAATCAACCATGCATAGATCTTTAAGGTCTTTTGTCACCTTCGTCTATTAATTTAGGGTGCCAACAAGTTTTGTCACCTTCGTCTATTAGTTTAGGGGAGCAGAGAACAAAATGTGATACCAATGTGAAAAAATAGGGTTCGAATATCTTTTCTTGATCATTTAGCATGCCAATAAAGTGTTTAAATGCAAATACAAAAGAAAGAGATAACTACTAGTAAACACAAATAAAATCAAAGAAACCTCTGAAGTACATAAAAGTAGAATACAAGTCTCTTTACTTTTTTAATCTGTTCAACTAAACCTACAGTCTTTTTTTTACCAAACGAGTGTCTATCCATGTCCATCCATTTCATATATTTTCCATATAAACCTATCAGATTGACTTTACTGGTAAATGGTAATATACACGGAGGGTTATCCCATTCATCTCATTCAAGTTTCTTTGCAATCATTTCACAAAAAGTTTCCCAACTAAGATTTGATCTTTTAGGATCCTTCAATGACGTCTTCTTCAACTTCATCCGTTCACAAGAACTTTAAGTATGATGTATTTTTGAGTTTCAGGGGCGAAGATACTCAAACAAACTTTGTCGGTCATCTTTTTCATACTCTCCAGCAAAAAAAACATTCGTACTTTCAAGGATGATGAGAGAATCATAAAAGGTAAAAAGATCAGTGATGAGCTCATCGGATCCATTAAAGATTCAAAATTCTATATCATTGTTTTTTCCAAGAACTATGCATCTTCATCTTGGTGCTTGGATGAGCTTGTGAAGATAATGGAGTGCCATAGGACGACAGAGCACACTGCGTACACTGTCTTCTATGACGTGGAACCCTCGGAAGTCCGCAAACAAAGTGGGGCAGTTGGAGAAGCATTTGCCAAGTATGAAATGGAAGAGGCTGATGGGAAATGGAGGGTGGCTCTAAAAGAAGCAGTGGACCTTGCTGGGTGGGAGTTGAAGAAGACTACTGATGGGTAATTCCTTCATTAGATCTATGCAATATTCTTCTATTTTGTTTATTTATGATCTAGCATATCACCTGGATGTAAAAGGCTCCAAAATGTTTCAACTCAATTTGTGTCTTGTCCAGAGAATAACTATGAAACATGACAAATAGGGTTGTATCATTTATGTTATTGATCTGAAAGTAACCTGCATGTCATGTCGGATTTTGAATAGGCTAATTGAATCATTTTTAGAATACAGACATGAAGCTAAATTCATTCAATAAATAGTTGAAGAACTTTCACTAGAGTTGTGTTTTATAAGTTTCAATGTTGATGAAAAGTTAATAGGAATGGAGACCCGGATCAAAGATCTGGCACCATCTTTAGGAATTGGTTGTGATGATGTCTGAATGATCGGGATCAAATTGTTAAACATCACTTAATAAAATCATCTTTTTTGCAGTTATCCCTAAAATCCAGCTCAATATTAGCTTTTTTAGAAAAATTAAATACAACTAACAATATAATATCAATAATTTGTTTCCAAAAAACATCTTACTTTCATTTTCTTCCTCTTACAAAGTATCATATTTATTTAAAAAAAATCCACCCAATTAAACAAATATAATGATCACAAGAAGATTAAACTCATGTCGTTTGAAGAACCAATATATAGTTAGGTTACAAAACCTTTGCAACTACTCGATCTATACATGTAGAAAACACAACACAAAAGGTCTCATTCAGGGATTACAACATATTAAAAAAAAAAAAAAAAAACTAAAACCTAATAAAAGATGTAAATAAAACATGAACATTTTACACCAACTTCATCGCATAGTTTTTATACCCTTTTACAATTCTCAACCTACACAATAACACAACAAATTTTAAAAAATATAACAATTATAACTGTAAAAAAATAAATTACTATTAATAAAAAAAAATAGTTACCTCAATGAATTTATATGTTTCTCAACCAAATCCATCTGTTCACCATCATATTCAGTCCACTTATCAACTGTTTCAACCGAAAGATCCCCATCTCCAATATCTGTAAATCAAGAAGTAATTATAAACTTTTTTAAAAAAACAGAATTTTTATAAAATGTATATAGAAGTAGAGAAATAATCCACTAACCTTGAAGGAGAATACCAGATTTGTCAGAACACCCTTTTAATCTCCAGAAAAAATGACCATCATTGCCCCTGAATGTTGGCTCTATTCTCACAGCATCAGGCCTCTCATTATCTAATAACATAAAAGCAACAAGTTGATTTATATAAAAATATAAATTAATAAGAAAAACTTAATATTATAAAAATAAGTACCTATGGGGACCAATTGTTTACATGCAAGCATCTCTGCATGTGCTTCAGCTGCTTCTTTTTTAATCTTGGAAACAATTTCATCATGTTCCATTAAAGTAAGAGGAGCACCTTCTCTTTGAATAATTGCTTTTGCAATATCATCTTGCATTTTTTGCTTCAAGCTTTTCTCCTACAGATTTTATAAAACCAAACCATTACTACTTTTATTTATTAAAAAAAAAAAAAATTAAAACTCATTTATGGACTTTTATATACCTTTTCTCTTGCATCAGAAAGCTTACTCCTTGCTTCCTTTCTCCTTTCAACAAACTTACCATTTTGTTCATCCATCCAGTTTCTTATTTTTCTGTTGAAAATTTTCCCAACTTTAAATAAAGTAAATTAATTAATCTTTAAATTTTCAACAACATGAAAAGTAATAATCTTACTCAGTTCCAAGAACTTCATCACATAGAAATGTTAAGACTCTAAGCTTTGTTGATGAGTCTAAAGTATCATATCCTCCAGATTTTTTATCTAAAGAATCGATTTTTTTCTCTGATAGATAAGATTTAGGGATGCAAGTTTTTAAACCTTTTAACCATGAATCATTTGCATGAGTTAGTTTTGATACTGGAGATCTGAAAGAAGATGAAATGTTAATATTAAAGAAAATGAAATATTGTGGTATAAGTAAATGAGGTGAATAAAGGAATGAGTAAGTGTTATACTCTGATTCCGATTCTGATTCCGATTCCGATTGTATAACAGAAAGCAATTGAATGTGAAACTGGATTGCTACTGAACATTTCCCACGTCTTGTACTTCTAACTTTTATTAAATCTCTTAAAACTGCTTCAGCTTGTCCTTTTTTCACATCTAAAACCTTTAAAAAAAGAAAAGATTGATGTAAAGTTTCAGTCTTTATTAACAAATAAGTAAATATGTGGGTAGAATGATGTGATTAAAAAGAATTAATAGAAATACAAAAGTAGAATGTTGTTTTCTTGATTTTGAGAATACCTTTCCAAAAGTAGAACAGAATTCAAGAAACTGTAATGCATTACCAACATCTTCTTTTGGGAGGTCAACTCCAGCTACATTGACCAATTCACTTCCTGTTGGCAGAGGAATGATGGGGTCAACAATGGGTTTAGTTAAGTTGAGGGCATTTTTGTCAACTTTGTTTTTTTGGTCTGTATTTTGATCACATGTAATAACTATGACTTCTCCATTTTCATTAACAATTTTCTTCTCTTCAATGCTTTTCTTGATACCCTTTTGCTTTTTTTGAACACCATCAACCTTCAAAATTGGATTTTCTCCATTTGACTTTTCTAGTTTTAACTTCTTTTGGGTTATTTTCTTTGGTTTAATTGAATCAATATTCCCATTTTCTACAATCATCTCATTTGACCCTTCTACCTTCAGTTTCTTTTGTTTGATTTTCTTTGGCTTCATTGCATCCTTATTCCCATTTTCTACAGTCATTTCATTTGACTTAACTGCATCAATATTCTCATTTTCTACAATTGTCTCCTTTGACTTTTCTAACTTCATCTTCTTTTGGGTTATTTTCTTTGGTTTAATAGCATCACTATTTCCATTTTCCACAATCATCTCCTTTGACTCTTCAGGCTTCAACCTTTTTTGGCTCATTTTCTTTGGCTTATTTGCATCATTGTTCCCTATTTCCAAAACTATCTCAATTGACCCTTCTGGACTTAACTTACTTTGTTTCTTTTTCTTTGGCTTAATTGCATCACTATTTCCATTTTCTAAAACTACTTCCTTTGACCCTTCTACTTTGGGTTTCTTTTGGTTTGACTTCTTTGGTTTTTCTTTAACATCAGATGCAATTGGGAGTGAAGGATCAGCATTTGCATCTGTCTTTCCATCAAAAAGATTTTCTTTCCCTTTTGTCTTTGGTGAAGTAACCATGACACCCTATTCAGTTTCATACAAAAAAAAGCAACATAAGAACTCAGATATGTTCTAGAAAACAATACATGAATTAGCATGTTGGAAACAATACATAAAGAAAAGAGAGAGGAACAGAATCACACCTCTTCTGAATTATTTTTCTTTCTTGGTGAAGCACATGTTTCTTTCACTCTCTTGTAATTACTAACATTCTCAGCACCCTTCACATCAAGCATGTTGGAAACAGAGGAAAAACCACCTGCTTTTGCCATTACTGCAAGCATACCAGTGGGCGCATGACCACGTTTTTTCCTAAATAAAATTGCAAAGTTAACACCAATCACAAAATAATAAACACATGGTAATTATATCTTCATAAACATACCTACAGATGCTGCAATTGCAGGCATCTCTACACTTGGGACAACTCCATTCATCCATCAAAGCCACATCTTCAACTTTTTCTCCATACCTATAAGATAATACATACACATTAATACCAATGCATACTTTAATGTAATATTATCACAGGACATGGAGATTACCTGTTCAAGAGGCAAGTGTTGCAGTACTTGAGGGGACATGGCTTGGTTTTTGACTTGTTCTTGCAGCTTGCAAATACAGCATATGTCTTCTGTCGACACTTCAAAACATCATGCAGATTGTTGGTAAGAAACAGAAAGATACTACGAGATATATTTTATTTAAGTAGGATCTGAGGTTTTAAGTTAGATGATATAAGGTAAAAGGGGTTTGTGGCATTTGCAAACACGCATAGTGGGACAATGATTAAGAGCTACACAGTTGACACGATTCTAAATGCTTAAGAATCTCATGATATAGACTCCAATTTTTTTAAGAAATGACTCCAGATTTCAACTATTACTAACGGATCTTTGATTGTTTAATTTATAGCAACGTCCATATCAATCTAGCAGCTTAGATCTAAAAAGGTTGACCTCAGACGTCAAAACCAAACCTAACAAGATAAGTGTATAAAAGCATATTTACAGATCTATAGCTGATTCGTATCTCTCACCATCATTTCATATTCACTTACATCGCCCTACTGAGTTGTAACAGCGAGTTTATACTCAAAATGAGAAGCACTGTTTTCACAAATCGCAGTAACAGATTGTATTTCATGTGTGCCTTGAATCGAACTCAAAAACGTTAAAACCTAAAACCTAGGTCCAGAACGTAAACAACAACATAATGATGCTGGTACAAAATCAAAATTAAACTTACTTGATGGCAAGTGGTTCCATTCTCAGAGTCATAAACTCGTCCACCGATGACACGAACCCCTGGATTACTGTTCCTTTTCTTCGGTTTTGAGCTGGAATTATCGACCTTGATGTCATTCTCCTCCTCGTCACTGCTTCCGAGCATCTTCCGCTTCTTCTCCTTTGTCGGAGCAGATACGCTTGCTTTGGAGTTAGGGCTCGGAGCGACAGCCATTATTGCAAAATTTTCGTTGGGGTACTTTAGAAGAACTCGTAAAACGGTAGAGATTGAAAGATTTATAACTTGGAATCGAGATTTTTGGAGGGATGATGGTGAATTTTCGAATTACAGTTTTGGAAATGAAGGAGGGAAAATTTTGGAGTTTTGGGAATTTGGAGGCGGCAATTGAATTTTCGATTTTCTTCCAAAATTTTGAAGGAAGTATTTTGATGCGTGTATGCAACTCCAAAATCCAAACCGCCTTATTAGATATTATATTGTAAAATATGATATATTTGGTTTAATTTTTTTTATAAAATTAATAATAATAATAATAATAATATTATCTTT